CAGAGGACCCCGCTCTCAGAGGACCCCGCTCTACGTCCACTAACCACACGCGCTTCCCTCTACCCCGCGGAACCTGGGGGCATAGCCCGGAAGACCTGGAGGTAGTCAGGCACCCCGCCCCGCTCTTCTGGTCCACCAGGGCAGTCTGCTGCCAGGGGCGGCGCCAAGAGACCTGGCTGGGCAGGCTGGTCAGGGGAGGGCACTCTTGGGCCCAGTTACAAGCCCGGGCCTAAAAAGGACGCATCTTTTGGGGAGATGTGACGATGACGGGCAGGTGTGCACACGTGTATGCAAGTGTGTGTGCACGCTGAGTGTGGGCGTGAGTATGCATGTGTGAGCACACGAGTGGGCATGTGTGTGTGTGCATGGAGACAGCAGTGCACACGCATTCACAGGGCCTACGACCTCACCCCCCCAACTCCCGACACAGGGCCCCTGGGGACACCGAACGCCCTGCCCTCACCAGCCCCCCACTGGCTCTAGGACGCGGCCGAGAAGGGCACAGACGGGGCGGCGAGCTCCGCTGACTTGACGATGGTGATGACGCTGGTGGCAGCCACCTTGGAGGGCGCCACGGGGCCGCGTGCGGCCACAGTGCGCGCGAAGGTCTGCAGGGCGTCGTACTTGGCGCGCAGCGCGTCCAGCTCCAGCCGCATGCTGCTGTTCTCACGCGCCAGCGTCTCCACCTCGCGCTGCAGCTCCACCCGCTGCCGCTCCAGCTCCTCCTTCTGCGTCACACGCTTGATGCGGCAGCTGGCGGCGTAGCCGCGGTTCTTGAGCGTGCGCCGGCGCTGCTTCAGCCGCGTCACCTCCTCCTTGGAGAGGCCGCGCAGGTGCTGGTTCAGCTCCCGCACCGACATGCTCACCAGCTCATCGTCGCTCAGCGCCGGCGCGTTCTCGCCCGCCTCCTTCTTGACCTGCGGGCACACACGTGGGGAGGATGGGGCCCACGCGTCACCTGAGGTCCCAATGCCGGTGAACAGGCTGAGGTGCCCAGAGGTCGCCTGGGTCTGAATGCACCTGGGCAGGCTGAGAGGCGCATGCCTGGTCTGTCTGGTGGCACTGAGGCCCACAGGGATGCTGGTTTGCCTGGGCCCACTGCTCCCCTCTCTGAGGAGGGGAGGAGGTCCCGTCATATACTGTGATGGCCCAAGGAGAGCCCACAGCCCTGAGGCCAGGGGAGAAGCCAGGTGTGGGCTCTGCTGGGACACCCTCTTTGTGGCTCCAGCAGAGACAGGGGCTCCATGCTCGCCCTCCAGTCTGCCAGCCCAGGGACACAGCCCCCGGCACAAGGGGCCCCATGCCCACTCTGCAGCCTGCCAGCCCAGGGACACAGCCCTCGGCACAAGGGGCCCCATGCCCACCCTCCAGTCTGCCAGCCCAGAGACACAGGCCCTGGCACAGGGGCCCATGCCCACCCTGTAGTCTGCCAGCCTAGGGATACAGCCCATGGCACAGGGGGCCCCATGCCCACCCTCCAGTCTGCCAGCCCAGGGACACAACCCCAGGCACAAGGGGCCCCATCTGCTGGCCCCAACACCACACACGGCCTCC